AAAGATTTTGAATTTATTATTTATCTTCTTTAGGCATTTTTATTTTAAAACTAGCAAAAATTTGATGTTTGAAAAATGTTTGAAAAAATATTTAGATATTACACTATCTAAGAGCATATAGAATACTTATGCATATATCTCATTGAACCTCTCTAATAATTGTATAAATTTAAATATATATAAAAGAAATAGAGATCGTGTATGTACATTTATTAATATGTGTGTAATATGTGTGTGTTATATATAGATTCTATTTTACTTAAGAATAAATTACTTATACATACATATATACATATACAGGGTCTACCAAAAGTGTGGAAACCCCTAAATATCTCGGAAAATATACGTTTTACAGAAAAGTGTTTCCAACAAAAGTTGTAGGGTTTAAGAAGATCTATATACTGATTCTATCAGTTTGACCTTGGATGGCGTCGTCAAGGTCAGGTCAAGGTCACATTGACTTTTTTAAATGACACCCCCTACATTTGATTGCATATTCTTATAGCTTAATTCAAGAGCTTTCCAAAACACTATAATAATGTTCATTTTTATTAAGTACTTTGCGAGTTATGAGGGTTGAAATAATTTCTTAATTTTACATAAACCATAAAATATCTAGTAAACCATTCATTTTTCGATTATCTTACCTTCATACTTTTATGTACAAATTAATGAGAGGAATCAATTGGTGTAAAGAAAACACATAGTTGTTTCTAAGAAAAAATATGTAATTTGCAATTAACAATTCCATATTTTTTCTTAAAAACAACTGTATGTTTTCTTTACACCAATTGATTCCTTTCATTATTTTGTACATAAAAGTATGAAGGTAAGATAATCGAAAAATGAATGGTTTACTAGATATTTTATGGTTTATGTAAAATTAAGAAATTATTTCAACCCTCATAACTCGCAAAGTACTTAATAAAAATGAACATTATTATAGTGTTTTGGAAAGCTCTTGAATTAAGCTATAAGAATATGCAATCAAATGTAGGGGGTGTCATTTAAAAAAGTCAATGTGACCTTGACCTGACCTTGACGACGCCATCCAAGGTCAAACTGATAGAATCAGTATATAGATCTTCTTAAACCCTACAACTTTTGTTGGAAACACTTTTCTGTAAAACGTATATTTTCCGAGATATTTAGGGGTTTCCACACTTTTGGTAGACCCTGTATATAGTTTATCCTCTCTTAAATAGAATTCTTATTTTAAGTTCCATTTTCCGAAATGGATACAAAAAAATTGAGATTTTAATTAATAAATTTTAGAGGAATAAAGCCTTAAATGTTAATTTGCATGAATTATGTTCATATGCGCTATGACATTAAATAAACATTAAATAAAATAGTTATTTGATATAAAAAACTATAGTTTTTATCATTTTTACGGTGTTACTTACGGATTGCTATTCTAATATAATTCAACATTTTTTAATAGTTGCGCGGATACACTATGTTACACACGATCGAATATCGCGAATTCGAAGTTGTGAATCAGTCAAAATAGATACAATAGTGCAGATTCTCGACTTCTCTGTCGACGTCTGTTTATTCACTGAATGTAGCCGCTGCCCCTCGATCGTTTTTTATAAAATCTTGAGGCGATAACAACACTCAGGCAATCTTCATTACTAGATAACGACCAAAATGCGAAACGCTATATTTTTTAAATACTTTTTATTCAATTTAAAAACCAAGTTAAGATTTGTCAACTTAAATAGGTTATCTTTATTTTCTACAATATCTATACATAATACGATATTTGTCGATTTATTTTTTTCAATTATTTATTTTGTATATAAAAATGTAAAGGATAAGGACAGTAGATAAACAGTAAAAATTTCATATTTTATAAAATTTTTTTATCAATAAAATTTGAAAAACGTCTTAATCTTTCTAACATACATTTTTTTATAAATTATTTATATTTTTTTGTACATTTATAAAAGTTATAACAAAATTTTCATATAATTAATATTACTAATTTATTTAAAAAAATATAAATAAATAATTGTATTTAATAAATTACTAAAATATTAATATATTGTATTTTTTTATATTGATTACTTTTTATTGCCGTAACATTATTAACGATATAAGCAAGATTTAATATCAAAGATAGAAATGTAAAAACATAATTTTATGTCAAACTACATATCTCTTTTTCTCTTTCTTCTCTTCGAAATCATATTGTATGCAATATACAAACAAACTAATGACGTCGATGCACTTAACATAGCATGCATACAAAATGAGCAGCTCTGAAAAATTAAAGATAAAAAGTTGTACTCTCTCTTATATGAAATCAATATATTAATAGTGGCTTCAGAGAGGTTATAGCAATAAAAATAATAAAAATAATACAATCTCACTTAGAAACGTAACGGTGCTAGTGTAGCTTATTTTTCAATGAAATTATGTTACCATAATTAATAAAACATAAAACGGAAAAACAAAATGAGTGTTTTTATTGAAGACTAGTAAAATATACATCTTCTTTGAAATGTCATTGAGTTGTCACTGTTTTCATCAGATATTAGTTTTTAATCGATTCAAAAGACTACTTGATAACATTGTATTGACCTCTCTATCATACGAAACTATATATCGAATGTTATATAGTTTTATATCAAGTTTTAAAACATCTTGAACTCTAGTACGTGACTTGTATCATGCAGTCCGCATTATTCATCGTATTTTTTATTATTAAATAAGATATTATTAATTATTATTAGATGAAAAAAATTCAAATTATAAAAAAGCTTTAAAAAAAATGATTAGTATTATAAATTAAGAATCTATAAGATAGATTCTTCCTTGTATTATATTGTATTTTATAATTGTATTTTATAATTAGTTAAAATAGATTTGAAAGTGTTTAAAAAATAAGATAAACATGAAATTTATCAATATCCATTTGTCATTATATATATATATATATATATATATATATATATATATATTTGCGTATATTATAAGTTCGTATTGCAATGATTTGTAAGAAATTTTATATTTGTTTGTACTCGTGTAAAATCAGTTTCTTTAGTCTTCAATCATTCTTAGTCAGTTCTATTTAATTATCAATTATTCACATTGGTTTTACTAATTTTATTAATATATTTTATTAATATTTTTATTAATATGTTTTATTAATATTAGTATTTTTTTTATTAATATGTATATACAATATTTTTTGTTGCGCTTCCTTTTAATCAGCATCATTTCTAAAAAAATTAATTGTAAATTAATTTATTATATCTTATTTTTAGCTAAATATTTATTATAAAATCTATGTATAATTATTTTTTATCACATATACTTTTAATTTTTTCATACCTATTTGTGAGAATATGTTCTTTGGCACAACATGGTATTCGTCTCTCGTGTTTAATATATTTCATATATAATAATGTTGTAAATCGCAAGATAATAAAATGATTATTGTTAATTAATTATTTTCTCATCAAGTAATTTTATAAGAAAATTATCCATGTAAGTATCCATTTCTTCTGTGCATATTTTTATACAAATGACAATTTATTTATCTTTGTGTTTTATCTCTTTTTCTTTCTTGCATATATGAGATTCTTATAAAACAATAATTAAAAAATAATGCATAATTCTATTAATATATTTTATTAGTCATATAATTTTTATATATTTAAACATATAAAATTTGTATTTTAATAAGCAGTTTCATTAACGAATAAACAATGTTAAATAATATTATATTATTTTAAAAATATATTTGCTTTAAAAAGATTTATACGATACGTATAAATATATTTATATGTACATAATGTATTTTTAAAACATCTATTTTTGGACTGAAGAATAATGTTGTATAAAATAAATTCTCAAAATATGGTTCAAAGAATAAAAAGGGATTAGATATAGACACACACTTACGTTTGGTAATGTTAATTTTTGACTTTTCCTCAAAGATATGACGTTGACGTTGATTAATAATCCGTTCCCTCTCGGATAACGAAGGTTGAATTCTTTTTAATATATCATCTAATGAAGCCTTCTTTGGCGATTGTATGATTGTTGAGCGTTGAATCCCTTGATTTTTTGTTGACTCCATTGAATTGTGAGAAAGAGACTCATTTTTCAAAAAACTATTATTCATTTGATTGCAATATTCGCTATTTCCGTCGCTAGCATCATCCATATTTTTTTGATATCTTTGTATTTTTTCTTTTTTTTCCTTTGTTTCATATATAATGCATATTTTAATATTTCAGATTACGAATCATTTCTGAATTTATGTATCAAATATCATAATTAGATTTCATTTTATAAAGAAATTCATCTTAAGTAAATCATATTGTAAATTTATCTATATTTTTGATAAATAATCTTTCTAATGAATTATATGCATGGACGCATAACATATTAAGAAATAAGAACAAAAATAATAATTTAAATTGACAATTTTTATATACTTTTTTTATCAACTTTATTCACCTTTTATCATTAAATTTGACTTTAATGTAAATTTACGTTTTTTTATTCATAATATTATCTGCGAATAAATAATTATCGTATATTGAAAATATGTCTTTTTCACATTTTAGCCAAACATTATTCAATGTGCATATGTAATATAATCTTGATTGTATATACATATATATAAACAGTCAAATATTTTTTTATATCGAGTTGTTTTATTAATAAATTCATTCATATCAATTCAGAAAATGTCTCTCTTTATAAATTTGATTGTGCATTTTGCATCACTACATGTAAGAATATAGAAATCTTATCAGAAGTAAATATGGTAAAACCGTTGATTATGACCAATTAACATGTTACTCATGATTTACCATTAGGTTATCTCGGTGCCAGTTATTTAAAACTTTTTTCATTAAATAAAAGTATTATAAGACGATGCCGTTAAAAACATCCAAATAATCGTATTCGATGCCGGTAAAAACATTCAAATAATCGTATTCCTTAAAGTTCTATTATTAAAAAATATATAACATAAAATGGATTCAAGTCGCGAGGAAAAGGTAACTCTCGATCTAGAAAGACGAAAGACGCAATCATTCAAGGAAAAAATGAGAAAGCTTGCCGAATGCGAGAAGATAGTTTCGGCCGATACTATCAATGCTATCGGAGAAATTACGAAAGATGTTGAAATGACTGAGAATAACGTGCCAAGCAGCGATGAGTTTGATGAAGAATTGGAAGAAGAATATCGTAACCTGAACGATATTTTCGATTTACCACACGACTCTTATTCCCTTACTAAAATTAAAACGGAGTTACCTCTTTGTATCAAATATGGCATTCGTTCTGGTGTAACTCATCTAAATATGCTAAAATTTTCACCATTCTCCAGAGGTTATCAGGTAATCATGATTATTGTGAGAGTCTTCATGTTGAAAACTTTATTTCAATAATATCTCTCTTGTTTTTTTCTGTTAATATAATAAGTATAAATATAATAACAGTAGTTTTCAAATTGTATTTTATTTGCGAAGCTTTTTGTACTAATTCCCTATGTGTGCTCTTAAGTACAAATTAATTAATTAAATATATTAATCACATATTTTAATAAATTAATTGCGTAATTAAAATAGTTATTGTTTAAAATATATCATTAAACATTGCTTTGTAGCTTCTCATTTCGCAGCTCTAATAACAGGGTGGCGCTATAGCGATTGCAGCTTTTGCCACAAGCGCAATTCATAAATCACGCTATTGGAACGAGGCAATAATCGACCAGATTGTCGAAGACGGTGATACTTTTTATTGCGAGTCCTACAAGAGTGTGAACACTGGCGATCGTCGGACAATGACTATCCTCGACTTGAAGAGGAATCTTCTCATTCAGAAAAAGATCAACATAACATTCAAGATCGAAGATCCGGCGTATGTCGGGAGATTTCGTTCACACGATCCAACGGAGCTTCATTTGGCGAAGGCATTAGAGTTGTTTTTTAAGCGATACGATGCCGGGATCCTGACGTCGCCGGTATTGAATATAGCTATATGGCGAGACTCGAAATATTATAATATATTTGACGGTCAAGCGCGACGAGATAATGGTGAACCGGTTACTGATGAAATCAACGGTTCAGCCAAATTGTTTCTCGTGAAGGATGTAATGGGAGTATTATTCATTATCCTCGAAAAGAGCAACGTACGAAACGAACCTTTTGTGATATACGCCGTAACTCTCTGCGCAATCGAATCGATCTTTCCGGATGATCCTGCGGAAGTCGAAAAGTTATATGGGAAGCTGCAGAGGAGACCGAGCGGCTACAAAATTCGTCAGAAACATCGAGCCGTAGTACAAGGATCCTATCATCTCACGCATCCAGCCATATCGAGAGCTTTGCGAGATAAAGGACATCTGATTATAGCCGTGGCAGCGCTGATATACTCGCGGCTAGTTAGCGCAAACAAGTGGACGACCGCTTTAGTCGATCTAATCATCAATCAATCTAACATCTATCTAATTGACTTAGTAAGAATTCTTGAGAAAAAGCTCGACGACGACTTTCAACTCCGGCTGGAAGACCTGATGAGCGATGTTATTCTTGGAGTATACTCTGCCAAGATAAAGATAGACGCAAATGTGATACCGGGAGGAAAAAACAAGAACACTATTGATAGCGGTATACGCGAGTTTTTCGAGACACGGGAGATCGGGATACTCGAAATCAAGAAAATCTTCTACGCAGTCTGGAAGGATGGCGATGCGTATTATTTCCTCGATCCGTTTGCATGCGATGACGAAGGTTTCAGGATCTATCACAACAATAGCAAAGGACACACGACGAGTGATACATTCGGAGGCGCTGCCTGTGTTACCATGAATAGTACCGTAAATGAAGTAGTGGAAACAGTGCTGGAGAATACTAGTAGTAAGAACAAGGATCCTTTTCTGATACATGGAATAACAGTGCTGTATGTGAAGACTGGAGTAGCGCCGGACGGACCATTCGAAAGAGTAATTTATCGAGAGAGAGGAACTAATCGCAGACCGCGGGTCCCGTCGCCACCGGCACCGACAATGGAAAAAATAATCGACACAACACCGCGTGTACGACCACATTTGCATGAATCCATTGAAATATCTAATCAATTCCCAGAAAATATGCAACATGTGGACCGATATAGAATGGCGGACGATGAACCAATGACTTTCATACTCGCACAAGAGGAAAAAAAGAAAGTACATAAAGAAGAACAGAATGTAGAAGAGGAGGAAGAAGAGGATATAGAAGAAGCAAAGGAAGAAGAAGACGACAAGGAGATGCAAAAAATACGCGTAAAAGAGGAAGAAGATGACGAAGGAGAAACAGCCGAGGAAATACGAAAAGAACCCTTATTAAAATTTATTATGGGATATAAAATGATAAATGTTCACCGTCTGCTACTTAGTGGTACCAAAAATTGTCTGAGTGAAAACTTTCGTCTGCAATCACGTGGCAGGCAAGGATTAATAGCTGCTTTAACTGCTTTGGCGTACAGAAGATTGAAAGATCCGACTCGCTGGCGAAATATAGACGTGGATCAAATCGTTGACATCAGCAACAAAGCTTATGAGCAAATCATAACATGGATCGAACAAGGCCGACCAGAGATAAAAGAAGCGGTAGCGGTGAAAGAAGAGTTGGAAGAAGAGGAAGAAGAAGAGGAAGAAGAGGAAATCGAAGAAGAGGAAGAAGAGGAGGAGGAGGAGGAGGAGGAAGAGGAAAAAGTAATTCGGAAAGTAGCACGTGCTCCGAGTCATTTAGACATCTCTTTCTTGCCGCCTAGATTAAAACTAGCCGAGTACGATGCTATTTTCAAGACAAAGACAAATGTTATCGACGGCGACGCGAATCCGTTGGCAAATCTCGCGGAGGCTCTCGAGCGTTATTTCGAACGATACCCTGAAGCGGTGTTGGAAAACAAGAGATTAATGTACGCCATTTGGAAAGAGGATGAAAAATTCTTTCTATTTAATCCTTACGGCAGCGATTCAGAAGGATGGCGTCTTCGAGATCATCCAGCCTCCTTTGTTGTAACGGATAGTCTCAACGAACTGATCGATCTTCTTCATGGTATTTTGGAATACAACGATCCATTATTCTCGCTTCATTTCGTGGCTCTAGACGCGATACAACCGGGAAAATATAGGTCACCCGTGGAAATCATGATACCAGACGAACAGATCGATAAGTTTCGTACAAAATTTCTACCGATCACAGATGATGATTTATTAAAGCTTGAAGAGAAACCAGATATTACTACCATAGAAGCATTAGAGAAACTTGTAGCCGATGAAGAAGAAGAAGAAGAAGAGGAAATGGAGGAAGAGGAAGAAGAGGTGGAGGAAGAGGAAGAAGAGGAAGAAGAGGAAGAAGATGAAATAGCAAGGGAAAAATTGGAAGCGCCAGAGAAACCTCTTGTAGATCCCTTGCTGGAAGTCGAGGAATTGACGCAGCCTGATGCACCTTACCGTCTAAATCTAGCACTTCTGACTTCCACAGTAAAAATACAAGAACCGATCGAAGAAGAGCTCAACCTACACGAAGAAGTGGTCATGGAGAAAATGAAATACGATCATCCGCCGCCGTACGTGATGCCACCGCGAAAGACACTTTATACTTTGCTGGAAGCGAAACGAGCGAATAGATCGATTCCTTCTCTCGTATCGAGATTCTCGATTGATTCGAGACTAGAGGTCAAGAAAAAGGATGATTTTCCCACAAATTACGTTGCACCTGCATCAGCCGCGATCGTATCACTGCCTCGAGACGCGAAACTCTCTAAAATCATCAAGCTATCTTCCGGAAAATACTTATACTCGAGATTACCACCAATTTGTATAATGCCTCTTAGAGCGATTGACGAGAGTTATATCCAGAAGGAAGCTGTCGATAATGCACTTGATGAAAAATGTCTTGAACAAGAGAAGTTAGAAGACAAAAAGGAAGACATATCATTAGCAAAATTAACGACAATAATTTGTGATACGAGATCAGAACTGATACCGCTCGGACCGATAATTAAAACTCCAGTTTTAACAACAAAGTACTTGACATGTTCCGATGAGCAGCAGCAGAAGAGCACATCGAAGACTGAAAATGAAATTATCAAGAGAAATCTCTGCAATGCGGAAAAGCTTCTATTCAAATTGATATTTCCTAATTTTAATCCTGATTTTCAGGTGAGCATATCTATGGTTCAAATATTTTATCTTCTCTAATATATTTTTTATGCATTGTTTTATAATTTTCTTATTATTTCGTTATTTAATGAGATTAAAATGTGATAAAATGATTTTAAACGTGCGATTTAATGAATGAATATATCGAAAATCAAACATATATTAATAATTCTACATAATATGACAAAAAAATTTAGATTGTTTAAAATGTAATACTTTAATTTAAATAATTAATAAAAATATTTAAATATTTATTATTAAATTTTTTAAATATTCATCAATAATTAATATTAATTTGTATTTTTCATTAGTCAACATACATTTTTATGCATGTTTCTTATTTAATTAAAAAGATTAATATCCCTTAATTTAGAAAAAATATTATTTATTATGTACATAACTTTTTATAAAAACGTCTTTTAATATACATTTTTCTTTATTTAGTTATCAGAAGAGAAAGATAATAGTAAAAAAGTGGACGACATAAGAAAGACTACAATTAGGGTAAAAGATGAGAAAATAGACCGTTCTGAAGCTATCGGTTTTAAAGTAATTTTATTATATATTATTATGTAATGCGGAAGGGTATTACATGTACATATATAAGATGGTCATAAAAGTCGAATTCAAATTTACCATATTTTTGCAATGTGCTAATAGAATAAAACATTTTTTGAACGTTTATAATTTTAATGGAGCATTTTCGTGCATAAGTTTGTATGAACTTTTTTTATCTATTTGATTCTATTAACACGTTATATAAATTTGATCTTAATCTTTACGAACCCTATATATTAATGTCACAATGCACTTATATTATCGATAAGAATTTTCTTATGCAATTGATTCATTCTTTTTCCAATAATTAGAAACTTGATCAACAAATTATTTAGCACACAATATTTCCCTGACAAATGTTATTTCAAGGTGGTGGAAGATGAAAACGTGGAGATAATACAAGGCAATTCGAGTTTAATGGATCGTGGACGAGTTGAATTTTCGCATTTCAAACCATGTTACATCGCGGCTGTATTGTGCATTTTAGCGAAAATTGTGCTAGACGTGGATCGGTTTTGTGGAAACATTTTAGATGAATTGATCCTCCTTACATGTAAAATCGATCAACATGTAGGTAAATTACGATACAAGGAATTCAGGACGTTTTATAACGTGAACATTCTTGACGCGAATTTTAACGTCATTCTAAAAGAGATCATTCGCGTTGATCCTAAAAATTCAATATCCAACGAGCTTGATGCGAGCATAGAGAAATTCTTAAAGAAAGATCAAACCGGCATATTGGTGTTGACAAATTGTGCCTACGCATTTTGGACAACGGATGATAGATATTATCTCTTCGATCCTTATTCTTGTGACGAGAAAGGACACGTCAGCGAGGAAGGTTACTGCTGCCTTCTAAAGTTCCGGGATTTAAAATCCATGCTTGACAGAATTAAAGAAAATGCCGGCGAGACTGAAAAAAAACCTTTCCATCTTTATACCGTATCCATTGCTCACATGGAGATGAAGAGACGCAAGCGGAAACGAAAAAAAGGCATCGAACGTCGCGCAAAACCAACTGTCCAAGAATCGATCAAAAGCGAGGAAAAGCGAGTTGCGATGACACCGCCAACCGTATCGGAGACATCTTTGATCGAATTAGCAGAGTGGGTTACTTCGGATCCAGAACTAGATCCAGATCGTGACGTCATAATTCCCGGTTTCACGCCAATGCGATATCATGAAGCTTCGATGCTTGAAGCAATCGTTCTGGAAGACGACATTACAACGCCCGCTCTAATGCCGTTCAAAATAAGGCCGTCGAAAACACTAGATAACGATCGCGAGGAAACGACGGTAGAACGAATGGAACCATTCAAAAGGATATTTCGAAATTACACGTCCCTCGCAATTCCCATGGATCTCTGTATCATGGCATGGTCGTTGATCCACGATCCCGCATCCTGGTCGGAGCGTACAGTCGATGGTTTGCTCGAGGCTAGCAGGAATTATGCTCTCGACAGCGTGTTAGCGAGCGAAGATACGTCCGTGAGCGACATGACTGATGGCTTGTTGCCGGAATTTGAGATAGCAAATTATGCGTTTCACGTGGTATTTGCGCCTTTGCACTACGGGAGGTTGTACGCAACGGAGGGATGGAATTTGGCGATGACCATGGAGAAGATATTTGAGACAAGGATCTATACCGGCGCAATAATCGTCTGTCGCTATGCTCATGTGGGCATCACGAAATGCGGCAGAAATTATTTAGCCTGGTGGACAGTCACGGGAACGAAATGTTTGAGGATGATCGTATCCAGCAGCATAAGCGAATTTCTTAAGTTGATTGTCAAGGTTATTGATGAGCCGCTGGAGACGGGATTTGCCGTCAGAACAATCACAATATCTTATGCACGCAAAATGGCACCAGATTGCAGCGACATTCGCGGTCTTCACGAGCCGATGGCACCAACAGCATCCTTGGCGGAAATTCATCGAAAAAAATCGCCGGAATCTCGGGATCTTGAAGCGATCTTCAGGCCAATAGGCCCGGCTCCGAAACCAATCTTCGTACTTGGAACAGTGGCTTTGCGTGATCGAAATAGCTTGCTAGAGCCACGAATAAAACGTTGTTATTTCGTCGCATTGTTAGCTGTCACGATTAAGCGAGATATCGTTCAATCTCCGCTTTCGGGCATGATCGATAGGGTTCTCGAAGTGGCGGAGAGTTTGTACAGAGGATTCGCTGAACCAAAATTTCACACGGAACATATATTGAGAAATGTCCCGCTGATGAACAGACTGTTTGACTTTCGAGATTGTGCGTCGTCGTTGATCACGTTGATGACGAATTCTCGGACCGGCAAAAACAATTTTTACATTCAAGTGAGCTTCAAAAAGGAGAGAGAAATCATTCTTTCGATTTCTTCTCATCTCTATTATTTACCATGTTTGAAAACTTTATTTTTCTTCCTTTGTAATGCTTATATACATCTCCCTAAAACAAGCTTCCTAAAACAAAAATATATAATAGAAGAACAGATATATGTATGTACACACACATATATATGTATGTCTGTTCTTTTATTATATATTTTTGTTTTAAAAAGCTTCTAAAATATTTTTTATCTTTAATTTTTTCTCCCATATCACTTTTGTTTTCCTTTATATAATATTGATCAAAAAGTGTATATTTTTCTTAATTGTTATATCTTTTTTTATGCATATTCGTTTATTATAATATTATTGTTATAATGTTATCTATTTATTTAGTTAATTATACTATATTTAAAATTTTTTCAATCCCATATTTAAAATTTTTTCATCTCATATAAACATATCTAAGAACTATTAATAATTCTAACTTTTAAGATTTCTTTTATGTATATCGCTTTAGGTGAAAAAACATTTAAAACGTCACTTCAAAATGCACACAAGCGGCATATTACATTTCACTAACTGCTGCTATGGCTTTTGGTACTCAAGATCGACCAGATGCTATTATTACCTCGATCCGTATCAGTGCGATATGGGAGGCAAAAAAGTTTTTGCAAACGGTAACGCCTGTCTGTGTATCTTCTCCTCCGTGTGTCAAATGACGAAACATATGTGTCTCAATCAGTACGAAGGCACAACCGGATTCTATCTTCATAGAATTCATGTGAGTTCCATCGACATGTCGCCATACGAGAAATTCCAGGAAGATCCTATGTGGATTTATCTCGATTATCACTGGAATTTCACGCATTCAATTACGCGAAGGCGTAGGAAAGCGAAAGACGGCGATGGAGTTCGATCGGAGTTCGATCAGCGGTTTTGGAATAATTACGCAATCGAGATTACCGACCTAATTTATTCCATTTGGGGCACGATCGGCGCGTACGACTGCCGTTTTGGCGAACGGGCAGGAAAAAATCGCGCCGCCATATGCGTGGCCATTCTGGTCATGCAACATCTTTGTCATCCTTCTAGATGGAACACCGCCATTCTGGACTCGGCCGTAATTTGCGGCGATTCTTACTATACAGAAAGCCTGAAAAGCGCGGCGCAAACATTCTCGAAGCCCATAAACAGGTTTGGTCTGCGAACTACCCTCAGGGTATATCCGCACTTATGGACCGTGGATTTCGGCACAAGCGTGTGTGGCATTTTATACGGCGATCGAAACCGATTGACATTAACCGGTGCGTTAAAGTCAGCCTTGGAGGAAGCACGCAATGTCATCATTGAATGTAACGAGATCACCCTGGCCTTGCTAGCCGCCAAGGACGCTTATTACATTGCCGATCCTTGTTGGATCGGACCTCCGTTATTCGCGAGGGATCGCAATGCGATCTACGTTTTACGCTGCAAGAATATGAACATATTGACATATGTGATAACGAAAATGTTCAATACCAATCAGCGACTCGGTGTTCGAGTCACGCCATTGAGGCTCGCGTTCGATCGAGAAGACTTTGACGCAGATCCCGGACTCTACACTGCTAGAAGGTTTCTGTCGAGATCGCTACGAAAGAGTCCAGGAAAAATCGACGATTCTGGTACGCCTATTCCCGGAGCGGTTACGGTACCAGATGTAGATTCTTACCTGCGATATCAACGGGATCTCGCCGATGGTGTAGTCGGAGGTTTCCAACCGGAAGATTCCCAGCTGCGAAATCATATGGAGTTTGCGTTGAAACCTGAAAACGTAAACAACACGTTCGTGAGCACCAAGTGGCGTTTGAATCTCGGCCAAGCGTGTCCTCCGAAACGAACCAAGCCACCTGTGGATCCTACCGGGATGAAACGGGAGTCGGCGGACTGCATTGATTCCGCGACTGAGCTATTTCAGTCGCGTCGTTCGCGAATTTCTATCACGGATTTAATCACCGCGTGCGATAATTATCCGAGACCGATGGATTTCATTAGCGATGCTCCTCCACCTGGAATAGAATCGCTCGAATGCGCCAGCGAGCGTGATTTCATCCGTGAACAAAGCCACATGGATTTCAACGAACGCGTTGCAGAAATGTCTCGGAACATCCACAAGAATTATCGCCATCGTTTACCGAAAAATAAAAGATTTGCTCATTCTTCAATCGATGCTGATCAAGTAAAAGGCAAAGCTGAGGATATTCCAGAAACAAATAGTGAATTAAGCGAAACCACAACCGATATTACGGAAATTATTGAACGTTGGATGTAATTATTGTAAATTTACAGAAAAACGCAATTCTGGAAGTTAATTACGAACAAAAGTATATATTAAATGTTTTTCTTCGAAATTCTCTGACGTATGCAGAGCAAAATGACTTTATATAATTATAATATGATATTGCATAATAGTTAGAAATCTATTGACATTCTTACGAGTATCTTACTTCGTAGAAGACGTCAACTCAAGAAACTTTTAATAACCTTCAATCAAAATAAAAAATCAAAAACAATTTTCAATAAAAAAAAATTGCGAAATTATTAGCTTCCCATTAAATTATTAGCTTCCCATTAACGTATTAACGCGTTTATACATAAATCAACAAGTAATACTCATTTGTTTTTCAATAATTATATAACGTATACATTATGTAATACATATTTGTACATGTGTATTTAATAACATCAATGTTATTAAACGATGATTCTCGAAAAGGCTATATTAAAAAAATTACAGATTTAATCAGATAAATTATAAATTCGAGAATAAATTATATCCAAGATATATGACATAAATTGATTGTATGAATCTTTCCATGTTACGTATATGTCGCCTTTTCATCAATTTTTAAATAATTTTCGATAAAAAATATAAATTTAAATATTATAATATAAATTTTAAAAATTTGGTTATGTTTATTATATTTTTTCAAAATTAGTATCTAGTTTCACATTGTTTTAATCAAATAAAAAAAACTTAAATAATAAATGATAAAAAAAACAAGATGCCGATTTTGATATTCGAATTACTATATTGCTATGCACTAACGTCTGTGCGAATCTAGATTTTTTTTTCTTTTTTCTATTTTAATAGCAATAGCATTTTTATCGATAATCAGTCTTTTGTAGAATATATTACTATAATTCTTACCTACAAATCAAATTTTGCATGTATGAAATTTAAGGATTTAGGAAATAATGAGTGAAAAATAAGGTTTTATGAAAGATAATTATCGATCCATATATTATCTTTATTTAGTTATTTATCAAAATAAATGTGTACAAAAAAGTAAATTTATTAGTACTGGACGGCAGAAAATGTTTGAATCGATATACTCGTAAAGTTTTACGAATATAATCGAAACAATCAAACGAATCAAAGATTGACTTATACCTAATAAGTTTGCATCGTTGTTAAATTAGTTTGCTGTAAGTTAAGCCTGTAATATTTTAAAATATGATACCATACCTAAAATTATGCAATTATTATGTGGGTTGTAACATATAAATAGCATATAAATCATCTTACATAGTTATTAGCGAATATTTATCTGGTATTCTATCTAAATCTATAATTTCTAAGCATATTGAACTTTACAATTTACAAAAACAAATAGCCTCGCTTAAAAGTCGTTTCTGTAATTTTATTTCTTTTATCTCTTCTATCTATATTTTATGCATTAATTTTTTCATTTGCTATAGCTGATAATTTTATAATTTCTTTCCGCGATTAGTTTTTCAAATTTAAATCGTCCAAACAACTTTTAAGCATATGACGTACACGACAGTAATTATTATTATTCGTTTATTATTTAATAACAACATTAATGTTAATACTTAAGTACGTTTAACGCGATGTTTAACATAATCGCAATAAATCGCAATAATCACATATATATATATATATGTCAAAAAAAAAAGAAATTTATAGATAGAAAACGATATGTATGCATGTCTTGAAAATAATCTAAAAAAATACATAAATTATAACTTACATAACAAAATTTTAAGTAGAATATTTTGCTGAATAAGAAAAAACTTGTTTGACAACATGATGGTTAAGATCATATCTTCCCAAATTCCAAAATTCTCATTAAAGAAAGAATTCTCGTTGAATGTAAATTAAGAGATAACTAGTTGCTTGTATACATTATATTTTGAGACACGTTATAAATTTATAAAATGATTTGTGCGCCGCAACGTATATTTTTAACGCCAAAAAGCTGTGTCTCCTTGCTCCCAAATTCAATAATCACCAGCTATGTAACACGTACGTCGAAGGACAGAGATCGGAACATCACGCGATCATAACATAACATTATCTACCATACAACAAATTATCACACGTACGGCCACGGGGCTTTGAATGAGGAACGTGATCATGCCCATTTTCGTATACAAAAATGATCGCGATAAATGCGATGAAAGATTAATAACGAGATAAAACGCCTTGAAACAATTTGTCTGTCGTTTTAATTTGATTCAATTGTATGTTCATTTTGTTTTTCGTTTGCTCGTAGTAATATTGCATCAGCTTTTATACGAAAGAAATTGCCATTTTTCTAAAACTCGTAACTCCTCGAAAGATGAAGAACACGCGATCGTTTGTATATTAATCGCTTTCGAGACGCGATTATTTATCGGCCGTTTCCTCCGTTTCCGGTTTCGTGTACAAGATCTCAGCGTATTCCGTTTTATCCTCATTCAGTCGCCGGGATGTAGTACCTTGTTGTGTAAGATCCAACTCTGCGTAAACTATTCCACCCTCACTCGTTGGAGGATTCGTTCTGCTTTCCTGCGCGGCCGGTTCAGCAATCTGAAGTTATATCGTGTTCTTTTCAGATATGGATATGAGAGCCAATAGTATCTTGAATTTTGATTAGCATTTTAATGATCGATTATATTGTAATACATTATAAAATATTACGCCATAAAAATAAATCCTGTTATATAAAAAATTCGATAATCTTTTTTACATTCGAATTTTTTTACGAATATAAAAATTACGTTATATGATGTGGTTGTATTTATAATTGTTTTTATTTCAAACATAAAAACATATTATGAATAATAAAATCATCGATGATTTATCTCATTTATTGCAATGAGTGAGTTATTTAAAATTAGTACATTTAAATTCATAAAACGCAAAAAGTTACAGACATTTCGTATCTTCTTTCCATTAAATTAATTATGCTATTTAATTATGCATTCTTCAATTGATGCAGACTTCTGTTTCGAAATTACGTAGAAAAGACCTAGATTTATATCATTTTTCCATTTATATAAATTTAATTTTTATCATATTAATATATATAATTTTACATGTTATTATTATAATTTATCGAAAATTAATAAATTTTTGCGAAAGTATTCTATTATGATTTATAAGTGCATAATTCATTAATGCATAATTTCATATAATATACTCTGAATTTAAATTGAATCAATGAAAATATCATTAATTAAAGCAGTATATATAATTAATTAGAGTAGTGACAGAAGATTTTACCAAAAGTCAATGAATATTTTTCTGAATTTTACACAGTAAAAAAACTCCGTCTTATATTTCTGAATAAGATTTTATTAAAAAATCCGCTACCATTAACTAATTCTTCTCAAAGAAATTTTGCTGTTTATAGAGTGCTGTACTTATAATGGATGCTGTATGTACTTATATTGGAACTATTCCTTTTCAATACACTAGTGATATTTAAGAGAATATAATTTTTTTCCAATATTATTATATAGCATATTACCGATTTTAAAATGATTTCAAAGCCATTTAATTATAAATTTGTTGTTGACAATAAACGCATTTGAATTTATTTGAAAAAAATATAATAATAATGAAAAAAAATGTAATGATTCGTATTGTTCATTTAAAAACTGATAGAATTTACCTTCTCGTCGCCGACGGTGATGACGGTTTTCATTGTATCTGTATCGGTACCCGACACTTTATCCTTGTTACGTCCAAAGAGCTTGGACAGATTAAATCTTGATTTCCGTTGCCCTCGGGAAGATGCTCCGTCTATTTCTGATCGGGAATATCTGCCGGCACTTTCTGTGTCACTTCTAATGAAGAAAATTAAATTGTTTCTTTCCATACATCTTTTCGACGTGTATTCAAGCAATATTGATTTTACGAAAATTGCGAAACGTTAAGCTATGGTGTTAACTTTATAGTGTTATCGAATGACAATTTAATAAATTTTTGGACAATTATTATTCCTAATGTATGTATGTGTATTTGTGTTATTTTTGGTCAATTTCTATGCGCGCATAAATATATAATATATGTGTGTGGCTGTTTTTCTGGTTTAGCGAAGATAGCAAAGGTTAAATATGTCGTTAGAAATATTATTATACGCGCACAATATACATGCAAAAAAATGTTACATCAAGTTCTGTTAAACCCGATATTGAATTCTAAATGTTAATTAGATTTAATTTGTTTTCCGCATTCGTTTATTTTACTTATCTCTCTTTAATATATGTACGCGTACTGTATAAATAACTGTATTAATCTACAAATGAAATGATAATTTAAAAAAATCATGATAGAATCAGTTGCAAAAATCTTTTCTTGTTTTTATCATTTTAATAAAATATTGGAAGCAAAGTTTTTATAAAATTTCGTGTAATGTACTGAATGATATGATAATAGAGTTTGTCTTACATATCGTAAACATTATATACGAGTACAATTAATTATTCAATAAATCAAGTTGGAAATCAAGATATTGATTATCACAATATTAATTAATTCAGCATAAGTTATTTAAAAATCGTGCTTTCAAATATTAAAATAAGCGCTACAATTAATACAAATGATGTATATGTATGTAAATTAGGATGAGTACTAGCTGAAGCATATATACGAGTATAAATTAAACAAAGCACTTTATTGTCACACTAGTTAAAATTATTAAAGAGAAATATTACACACAAGCAGAATACAAGTATGCGCATATAGAAAATAAATACAATCATCTGAAGAAATAAAACATAATTCGTATACGAAGAGCGATTATATTCTATATATGCTATGTGAACCTACGTATTTTCTTACTCATATTGATTTGCAAACTGAGAACTTTGAAAAAAATGCGGTGCTTATTACACGCAGTTACATATGTAATTAAGACTCGAATAACAAGATTATTACATCTTCTTTCTTGCGAATTAAATATTGCGAAATATTGCGAATTGCAGGTAGATATTCGAAATCACATAAATCCGCGTTTAAATTTTTTTCCGCACGCAAACGACAGAAGCAAATTTTATTTTAATGTACGTTAAGCAGAAATAGAAATTGTGATAACGAAAGTAGAACGCAAAATAAGAAGAATACAATGTAGATTAGGGTAATCCAATGTGCTTTCATTTGCCTGCTAAATATCGTGATTTGCGTAAAGATTACGTAAACATGCCATGAGATTGATATGAGCATTTGATTGATTCATGAGCAACATATAGCTCTGACCCTATTTAGCCAAGATTTATTCTTATCTGATGACGGAATGAGAATTAGGCCACTTATATGTAAGTCATGGTTTTTACCCAGTATTGTATAATTGCCCAAATTATGTTGAATATGACACCAACAGATTTCGACATCGTGGATTATAATGTCAAGACGAGAAATAATGCTTATTTCTGCAATATAGATATTTCTCGTTTTGACATATATCGATAATTTCAATGTAATATGAATTAATCTTAACGTATTCTTGATTTTAAGTCACGAAATCGCGTGAGTTGATACAAGTTGTAAATTTTAATCTACTGTCACGTAAGATTTCTATTTGAACCAGAAATATCACGAGACGAGAACAAGTTCCCAGTTTGATCAAATTGTGCAGAAAACAGATGACGAACAATACTCTGTTGGTCGTTCGCTTTCCGCGCAATTTAATCCAATTTTTCTGTCCCGACGAGTAAGAAAAGCGAACGCGCCGACGAACACATCCGACATTGCGAACGAATAAAATAAAAAGAGCTGCTGCTTGCCTTTTTCTAACGACATCAGCCGCAGTTTTCGATTTCTCGAGGCGAAGAAGACTAATGCTCGTCGCAGGATCCGCGAAGTCTCTGAAAACGTGCATGCTTGGCAAAAGTCTACGACAATCATCGTGTGACGGAAAAGCGACGAATAGATCTACTATTCGCCTCTGAATTGCGTCACACGATTATAAATTAAATTAAAGCGAACTACGATAAATGAAGTATTAGTATGACGTAGGGAGCGAGTGTGCGAATACTATAAGCAAGAGTGCGATAAGATGGACTGTACATTAACATATCGTATTTTTTAATATACTCACGACTCCCCGAGATTCCTGGCGGACGAACGACCTGGAAGTAATAAGGAGAAGTTTGGCTTAAATTTGGCAATGTTTCAAAATTAAACGGTTTCGTAATAAAGACAAAATTATAATTGATATTTCCGGCTCTATTTTGCAAAACTGCATTAATGACTAAAGTGATAATGAAATGTGACCGCTACAAGTTTTTTCTCTTGAGTTTATTTTTAAGATTTATACAAAAACTTTTATAAATACTTTTAAATGAATATTTAAAATATACTCTTTTGAAATTAATATTTAAGTTATTAAGTTGTTTTAATGTATTATATATATACAATGTATTTCGTCAACATTTTTCATATATTCCAATTTATTGGAATCCAGAAGGAATCCAGAATATATATTGTTTATTTCATTTGACATATAAAACAATAATAATTTTTATTATGACATTAAAACGATTCCAATGTTTATCGACTCAAAAAAGACATCAGTAAAGAAAAAAAATCTTTCATATATAGATAATTTTTAGGAATATTGTAATTTGGAAATCTTATGTTTGAAACGATATCGCGCACGCGATATTAAAAGTGAAGCACATGCTCAATTATCACATGCATTCATTATCTTGCAAATTAAAAATGCCAATATATCAACAATGTATAACATATTGTATCATTAAACTTTGGCCTGTGATGTCAACCCATCATTTATAATTCAGCAGCATATATTTACACTTGAAATTAAAATATCTCTAAAAATAATAATATTACGTATGATGCGCGATTCTTCTTTTTCACATTCACTGAGTGAAAAACATCCAGTTAAAAAAAAGAGGCATTAATATCACGACTTAAGAATTAATTTTTATAGTATTTCAAATTTTGTATCCAGGAAACTGTATCTTGTCTCTATCGCTGAGATTCCGAAGTTACGATAAAAACATCCGGTATCGTAAGTTTAGTTTAATGATAGGACGTAACACATCTCTCTCAACATTTATCTGTATATTTAAAACAAATGTTTTATTTCAAAAATCATACGATACCTAAGTATAATATCATAGCGACGAATGAACTTATGATTAATTATACATACAGCTCTCTATATATTAATTTCATTTGAATTCTTAGATTTACTTCTCGCCTATCGCATTGTATCTACAAGTAGAGATACAAAATGTCATCGTTCTCGCGCGCTTGCGGCGTGGCTGTTTCACTTTTAATCGCGGTCGTTTTTGAACCATTTTACCTTCTTAATTTAAACATTTAGCGATCTCCGGAATGTATTAACCGACCGCCAACGGCGCCGTTTCGATTGGGCCCTTAATCGGAAATGGCGAGATAACGATATCGCGCAAACGAAATTTCTCGGTAACTTAGCCGCGATTTTTCACGCAGTACTTAGATGGCTTCTAAAAATGTCTCGAAGAGAGAGAGAGAACGAGAGAGAAAGAGAGAAAGAGAGAGAGAGAGAGAGAGAGAACACCAATTGCAGGTATTTATAATATATATCTTGTGATCCGGCGAATCGGCACCGCTTTCGCATGTTTCCTCATCATCTTATTCTATAGAGACTTACATTAACATAAATATATCTATATCATATAATATATATATAATATATATACCCCATTGTGTATGGCCAACGATCATGCTCCTTAATAACGTATGTTATCTTTCCGTTAATATATTATGAGTTAGTTTTACAAATGTTCATTCAATCTCTAGTTGTCACGGGAATAACGATAATGCGATCGAACGTGCGTACACATCTGTATATTCCTACACGTTCGTATATGTATATATATATATTATATCCTCGCAGCATGATCATCGAGATTTTAAGTCGTAAACGTTACAAGTATAATTACATTATAATTAACTAATTATATAAAAATCAATTACGTAATAGCTGCATTAATATCAATAAACATTAAAATGTAAGTATTAAAATGTATATATATATAGGCAGGTTTTGTACGTAAATGCATCCGTATATATAATCTTTTTGTTTCTTTTCTTTTACGAATCTTGTGATATATGACGACAAGAAACGTATTTAACGATCTCGCTCAACTGCAATAAGACAAATAAACAGCGCAATAAATCGAAAAAAGTGGCAGTCATGATATTTGCCATTTTGTAAATATCATTAATATTATTTAAAAAAAGATCTTATGCAAGTTCGTTTTCTTATTAAATAGAAACATATTACTATAACTTATAGATTAAGATAAAGGATGTACATGGAATTCTCTTGTGGCATTTCGTAAATAAGGCAGAAAAAATCCTATCGATTTATATTTTGGCAGTGATTTTTGACGTTGTTCTTGCTATGCATCTATGGACCTGTCCGGGACAGACCTGTTTGAGTCTTGTGAGATTCATTGGAATATTTAGTATTAGTACTTAAGTATAGTAACAGCAGTTACTTTCAATAAAATTGATGAAATAAAATCGAAAACATATAGAAAAAAATTTTAATTAAGTTACGAGATAAACTCTTTCTGATTATACAAAAAATACGTTAAAAAATTTTGTTTAAAAAATGTTTCTTTAAAAAATTAATAATTTTAATTACTCTCTATTTTTTGAGACTCGAAAAGGAATTTTCAAACCAGTGAAAAATAATAAAAATAATAAGAACAAACGATTTATTTGTCTATATAATTCGTAGAAAATACCAATATATCGTATCATTTTTAAAACATATTAAGCATTAATTTAAATTCTGATATTATCCTCCGATTGTATTCGCTGTTACTATGTGCTTAATAGTTTTATAAGTAATTTTTAGTAAAAATCTTCGATAAATATTCGAAAGTGGATCTTGATGGCCGTTTAATCGTACGTTTTACTTCCCGAGAACAGCTCCGTGAGAATCTCATGTATATACCTAGTCTAATTGTAAGACAGGAAATTTAAACGTTTATTCATCTTAATCAGTTCTCTCTTTGTAGTTTCTCTCCGGAAACGGTGATCTCTCTCATTTTTTATAGAATATTGTGAAACATTTAAAAATCAAATGTGTGACCACATATATATATATATATTATTTCTTATATATATAAAAATTCGGATCGCCCTAGTGTTGCTCTTATTCGCATTCGCTACAATAGTATCGTTGCGATGCGTAAGAATATGCAGAGGATATTCCGCATATTTTCTTTTTTTCTTTTCTTTAGATAAACGCGCAATTTCCCCTTTCCCAGTGTTTAGGCTCTCTCTATTACATATATTAACATACTTTGATATTTAGTACACATAATATATATTATTGTTATACATTATACATATATAACGTATAAATTATATATATGTATGTATACTCTTTCTATACATTATGTATACTAATATAGATGTCCGATATTCTGGTTGAAAACTGATGCAAGATAGCCTATCTGTGATAGCACGAACATGCCAGTCTCGCAAATGAAGTTTTTAGTTGGCAATTTTTTAGCCACGCGTATCAGTATCTCGAAAATAGGACAATCGATATCAGTCCTCTTATTTATAATTTTTTTTTTTAATATAATGGAAGAAATTTTTAGCACAGATAGATATGTGATATAAAAAATAAATGAAAGAAAATAAAAAGGATGAGCTTATAATCGAGAAGAGAAGATAGGTGATAGAAAAATAAACGTTCTGAACGCATAATGTTTGTTTCGTTTGATGAATCTTTAAAAAAAATCTCGTCCATGATGATATTAATCGTTCTAGTTTCTAAGATACCAATAAATTTAATAGTGCTTTTTTTCTTTCTTTTCTCTTGCACGTCTTCCTCGCACATTTCATTCCTTTTTTTTCATCCATTTTTCAAAGTTTCATCAACTTGCTTTAAATAAGCTTCACACATTTTCTCTCCGCTCAATAATATCTTTCATCCTAAAAAGAAGTTCATGAATAACGACAGGTCGAGTCAGCAATTGGAGTGCAAGCGAATAAGTAAGCCCACTCACTCGATCGACATTCACGAATGCATGCAAACCAAGTGCTCTCGACGCAGAATATATATCTGGTACTGTTTTCTTCGCGATCTCGTTTTATATATATTTATATATTTATATCTGTATATTTATATATATGTATATTTGTATGTACAACACGCAGCAGAGATTCGACCGTCGACCGACGAGCTGCATCGGCATTCCCCTTCATTGAAATTCGCTCAGATCGCGATCGATTTTTTATCATATTCTGCTTAATAATCACTTCACGTCCTCTTTCCCCCTATCTCCGACGAAAACCTCGATGATCTCGTCGGTCTCGGCACGGCTCTTTTCTTGTAAATGAAAACACGAATGCATTCGGAAAAACAGTAAAGGAGCATACGTGCCGAATTCGGTAACGATATCGTCGATGAATTGTACATCCATCTTTTATAGTTCTTATCCGATTTTTACGCGATGCCGACGAGACCTACGTTGAAATTCGTGTGATGTTGTGTATGTGTGTGTATGTGAATAATGTGCGCGCATGAAGCAAGTATTTTAGAATTACGTTTGGTTCTTAGCTAAGGAAAATTCATCCGTGTACAAAAGTACAAACAACACTTATTGTCGAAGGCAATGATAAGAATTTGCGAAGCTGATTTCAAACGAGTTTTCATTCACAATATTATCAATATGTGCCGGTAAAAGATCCGGCGTGAGTAAATGCATACAGGATGTTTCTCTGTAAGATCTGCATGGAACTACATAAGAGCGTTATTCTAACTAATATACATGACAATTTTTTTAAGAAAATCTTTACGCAATAGTGTTTCTTAACAAATAAGATAGATTTCGAGAATAAAGCTCTCCATTACATAAAATCGATTTGAAGTTAATTAAAGAATAATATTTTACCATAAATTTCAAGATCTTAATCAGAATTCTTTAAAAATTATGTTAAACTAACTATGAATAACTGTACAATAATTCAAATTTTCGCAAAAAAAAGGAAAAAAAACGCTGATTGACAATCTATTAAAAAATTATCATTAAAGCTCGATGCAAGACTTTTAATAATTTTGTAAGGTGTGTTGGGTGGGAAATATATTTAA